TGCATCAAGAAGATTGGGAATTGTTTTAAACTTGCAAAGAGAGGAAGTAACTATAGGAGATTATGGTCTCCAAAATGGCTATAAGATAAACTTAGAAATCTAACTGATGCAGAGAAACAATCCTCAAATTTCCTCAGAAACAACCTACGGTTTTGACCTGCGAAGTTTTCACAACTAGCTTTATTCATCTGAACACTCACATTGTCATGGAGGCCACGGAGGCTTCTTGCATAAGTAAGGCTATTCACAGATGTGTGTATGATGAGAGAGCTGTTTATTTTTTCCCCACTTTCTCTAAACCTCTGACATAAAAACACTATTTCAATGCACATGAAATTTTATCCATAAAAATGTTTGTCCTAAGTACCAATTATTTTCTCGAGGTATCATTTACTTTCAGGAGAAATGTTACTATACATATTTTATACAGTTGAGACATTAACCGTTTGTTTTAATCTAAAACAGTAGTTCTCGACCTTTCTGGATTCGAGGCACCTCTCACTGGACTCAAAGCACCCCTCCATAGCTTTTCTGAATTGAGTGGAACACTATTTAAAATACTAATTTATATATTAGTGCTTACCTCCTTGTACAAGGCCTGGGCAGTAGAGGTGGGGGGAACCATATCATCCAGGCAGGGACAAACCTGAGCCAGACTTAACTCATTTGCTTATCTCCTCACACCTCCCATCTCCCTTCAAAGGACCTGTCAGAACCCCAAAGTATCTCAGCACCCTGGTTGGGAATCACTGATTTAAAACATGTGAAGCAAATATTAACTGATGCACAGCAAGAATCACAAAGCCACCAAATTGTCAGTATACTCAAAATACAAACAGAAAACAGCACCAAAGTGGGAAAAAATAATTATCTAATTTCCTGTGTAGCATCTCTCAGTATTCAAGAGTGGAAAAACAGATAATATTAGTCTGAGGTTTTAGTGGTCACTACTTCCCCTGCACTCTCTAACCATATCCTGTAACACTACATATTACTACTTCAGTCAAGAAAAACAAATCAGAACAAAACCTCATGCTCAAGCCTAGGAGCAGAGATTTGCTGAAGCACTGTTCCTGCAGATTCCTCTGACAGTACAGAAGAAGGCTGGAGCCCTTAGAGAAGAGCCCTTGACTTTGGAACCCACTTCCCCCTCAGCTTTCTGAGGCTCAGTTTGTTGACCTTGAGGGCATGCTGAAAGACCTAGCTATCTATTTAGTCTTTTGTCTAAAGAGGTGGCTGGGGGAACTGTTATTTAAGGATTGCTTCAAAGTCCTGAGTTTCTCCAACATGTCAGTTTAAGTTATGCTTTTGTCTACATTTTTAATGCATACATGAGTTGCGAGGAGAGAATAGAGTTTTTTAAATGAAGTAAGAATCTGTACATAAACAAATTTCCTTCCTCCTGTTACTAATGTCTTAGCCTCCTAATCTTGCAAACAGTTGTACACTAGTTTAACACAACCCACTATTCCCCATGGAACAACTCACATACTAGCTTGTGCTTTTGTCTACAGGATCTAATCCTTAATATTGTGGCTATCTCCATTAATAATTTGTCTAATATAGTAAATGTGTGTCCTACAATTAGCTGATGGTATTTTTATGTGGCCTGTATCTTTTATCCTTTGCAAAATTTAAGATATACATGTGAACTTGGCCAGATTTTCTTTCAAAGGTGGCAACTGGAACTGGATTTAAATCACTGGTTTAGCTCCAGCTCAGCACAGTAGTTACCATATGCTAATTGTGAAGTGGTTTGTATATAAACATACAAATATATGCATATGCAGACAGACTGCCACTTGATAAAGAGACCACTGCAAACCAGCACCCTTGTTGATATTTAGATGTCAAAAATGTTAAAACTCTGAACATGAAAAATGGCTTTCCTTCTCACATTGAGAGATGGCACCTTCAACACAAGAAAAAAATCATACTGACAAAGTAGTGTGAGAAACTTTTTGTCACTGCTGAATGTGCTCTGTGAATTAAGTCTCCAGTGTTGATAGTTTGGCACTTTTCACAACTATGACATTGTTACTTGTTTCAGCCCAGTCAATAAAATAATCTACTGTTCTTATAGTACACTGTTTGTTTTGGCACTGATACCAATTTTTAAATTCTTGACATAAAATGGCTTGTTTAAACTGTGTTCAAATTATGGAAGTACAGCACACAGGAGTCAATCCAAATAGGGAACAAAGATGAAAGAGAAAATACTTTGCTTGTAGTGGTTTGAACATGAGCAATATTTGACTGAAAATGTATTGCTAAGGTCTTGCTTTTGTCCACAGACTATATAGAGCAGTAAAGTCATGCTACCACTTAAACTATAAAACAAGCTCTGGTTATATAAACTGGCATGTGTCACAAAATGGACATTTGCACACTAGTCACGTGACAACACACATTTACCACAGTGGAACACAATGAATAGTTTTGATTTACTCTCTTGGAGATGCTGGAAGTATATTGCATATCAAAATAAAGAAGGTTCTATTCTAGAGCATAAACATTGTATTGTTTGTTCTGTTACATGAATATGGGTAACAATACACTCAAAGCCCTCCTGGTGTGTTAAAGGAATAAACTCTGTTGTTGTTTTACATTATTTTGGTGCATGACATGGCAGGTAAAAAATGGCATCTGACTAACTACTTTAACTTAGTGCCTTCTAACATACTACACCCCTGCAAAAGCAGTATTTTTTCTGAGCTATATATAGGGTGACCATATGTCCTGGATTGGCCAGGACAGTTCCAGATTTCAGAGACTCTCTCAGCATCCCAGCCATTGGAGAAAATTGAAGCAAAAATCCCAGATTTGTGCAGACCCTCCTGCTTGCCTCCTGACTCAGAAGCCGGGCACATGTGGGCAGGTTTGCACCAACATGGAACTTTTGCTTCAATTTTCTCCAAGGAGCCCAGCCAATGGGCTGCTCCCTGGTCTGGACTCCTCTGGGCTGCAAAAGGTGTCACTTTAACAGTAGACTTGGGGTGGGGGAGGAGAGGGGAAAGAGCCGTGGCAGGGGATGGGGGTGGGTGTGGGCATGTGTGTACACACCATGCTGTCCTGCATGGCCCCGCTCCTGGGAGCTGTGGGGTTGGCGGTTGTGGTGTGGGCACTTCCCCCCCACTCTGGATTTCTCTCAAATTATTATAGTTACCCTAGCTATATACCATACATAAGATAATCTGACAGTTCAAATGTATATTTTTACACACACATTTTTCCCCTGGAAGCCAAAATCCCATTTTGGTAGAAAATATTATGCAAATATAATTGAATAAATTCCACTTTATAGTAAGAAATACGAATTAAAGGTATTTAAGGACTAACTGTGTTCCCACTGAAGGGACTGTGAAAACAGGATCTGGGCCTAAATTGATGAAAAGTTATGAAAACCAACAGCCAAAGACACATAACAATCACTTTCTGACTTTTATCCCAGGCTTTTTGCCCCACCTTTTGTAAACCTGTTTACTGTAGTCTTTTGCTTTGGGGAAAAAAACAATCCTTTCTGATCTGTGTATTATACTTCATTCATGTTGCAAATACTGTCTTGTTAGTACTAAGGCCCTGACTCTGCAAAACTTAACATCCCTGCTCAGTTTTGTTAATGTGGACTCACTGGACCCTACTTTTAAATGAAGTTACACATATGCTTAAGCTTTTGCAAGACTGAGGTCCAAGTTGTACTGTTAACTAAAGGAGTCATTTTTGAATTCACAAAATGTGAAGAATTTATGAAAAAGCACTATGTTAAGTTACAGAACTTGGGGAAGTAGTACCCTAAAAAGGAACAACTTGCCTAATATTTAATTAGCATGGTATATTTGAATAAATCACGCTCTAGAATAATATTCTACTCTACCCAAACAAAGCAAAATGGTCCATATCCCCAGTACACAAAACACATGGAGCTGGAATTACCAAAATAAATACAACGGTATGCATTTGTTGCTTAAGGTGTACAGCCTATAGCCTGCTGGTATTCACCCCTGCACAGAACTTGATGGACCATACATCAATATATGACTACTCACAACATGCAAAGTCAAGTACATGTCTCCACAGGACTGAGGGCCTATGCTTTCTCCACCTGATTTTTTTTCAAACTCAAGCAGGCTCGAAGAAGGGCAACTACTGCAAATGTAAACCCATAAGAGTCACTGCGCCCCCAATGAACGTCCACATTATGAGATCTCTTGCCTTCGAAATATTGTCTAACTATCTCAACCAGATGGCTGGTCAGAGAAAAGGTACGGTCCTACAGAGATGCCCTGCCTCTCGGATACAAGTCACCACAATGAGAACAGAGGGCAGCACAGATGCATTACTGGAGGAAAGCAGGGACACCAGGGTACAGAGGACTGGAAAAATGCATTTTCCTGATGTCTACCTTTTTCAGCGCTGCTGGGACAGACCACCATGGTTTTGCAGAGAGCTGCCCCCGGGGCAACCAAGGCCTGAACCCATCACATGAGGGCTGGAAGGGACCTCAGCAGGGCATCAATACAACCCCCACCCCCCCTCCAAGCAGGACCAGCCCCCACCACATCATCCCCACCAAGGCTTTGTCTTAAAAACCTCCAAGGATGGAGATGCCACAGCTTCTCTGGGTAGCCTGTGCCAGTGCCTCCCAGTCCTGAAACCCACACCAAGCACAAGCGACGGAAGACGACAGACAAAAAAGGGGGGAGGGAAGGAGCAGAGAGGCAAAGGGCAAAGCTCGCCTCAGGCGGGGGTGGCAGGGAGCCGGGAGGGACACGCAGCTGGGCCCCCACCCCACGCGCACAAAGCGAGGAGGTGCGGCGGCTTCCCTCAGCCCAGGCGGGTGGCGCGGCCCCCCCGTCCCCCACGCGAGACGGGGCCGCCGCGCCCCGCACCCCCCAAAAAAAGTTCCCCGCAAACTTTCCTCAGAGCCAGGCGCCCCCGCAGGAGGGTGGGGGGTGCGGGGCCTAGCGCCGCCGCGGCCTCCCCGGGGAGCGGGGCCTCACCTGCAGGTGCTCGGGTCGCTGGGTCGAGGAGGAAAGGCCGCGACCGGCCGGGCTGGGCTGGGTTGTGCGCGCGGGGAGCCGGCCGCTCTGCTCCGCCAGCGAGACAGGGAGCGAGGAACCTCCCCGCCTCCTCCCGCTGCCGCCGGGCTCCCCACGCCGCACCACGGCGGCGG